GCGAAGAACGCTAGTTTTTCAAGACTATAAAAATGTATAAATGCCTCTAAACGATAATACTATTCAATGCACGATCCAGTAATCTGAATAAGTCGCCAATTGCATTTTACGTCCGAGAACAGCGGAACACCGAACGACCAGATAATGATCTGCTGACATTTACTGCACGGACAGGGTTAGTAATTGGTCCGATTGAAGGTTCTGATGATGACCAACATTAAAATAGCATTATTACGTGACCCGGCACTACGCAGAAGTTGAAATTTTTTTTAACGAAAAAAAAACTATCGCCGTTGAAATCAGTTCAGCTGTTCGCTGACGTCGGCCAAGCCGACAATTCCCCGATAGACAATGTCACGCCGTCGTCTGCTCTATCAGTAAGATATCTATGGCTGTTACACACATCATAAGGAACGATGATTTCATCATAGCTCTATAATTGATGGACATGTTTGCGCCAAATCAGAGTTCCGTATGTGCGATATGTATCATATCTGGGAAAGACATGGTCTAATAGCAGCCCCTGCCAGCAGAAAACGAGTTATGGAAAATGATGGAAATCGCGACTCTCTGCCATTGCGATGCAGTGTCGACCTTCGTTTGATAAACGCATCAGCCATAGTGAACTTAACTGTATTGCGGATAAAGCAGATTATTATATAATAACGCACAGTACATTTGCTGGAATGAAATTCGAGATAGTCTGCGGTTATTCAGGTAAAAAAAAAAATGGAAGAAATTCATGGTGAAGCATGGCTCTGTGTTAATGATATCAGCCAATTATAGCCTCGGTCCTCGAAGTTGCGTTATTTGGTGCGTCAGACATGATATTGGAAGTCTCGTTTGCGAAGCTGTAGCGAGGGCAACATATCTGCATAGAAACGTATTTTTTAACATCAGACCCATATCGATTCATCTAATAATCTAAAGAATAGATAAATTTGACAAATGGTCAAGTTAATATCGTTTCAGTACCGCCTTTGAAATATATAGTGATGCATTGCTTTAATTCGTTTAGATTTATATGCATATAAATTTCGTTGATTAGCTGGTTGTGGTAAGCAAAATTAGGCGGGACACTCTAATCCAGCTTCACGAAGGCATTAAATGGAAAAAAGAAATTGGTTTGACTTGTCATCTAATAAATAGCACACCTCGTTCTCTCGATAATAATAATAATAATAGAATACTAACTAAAAATCGGCATCAACAAGATTATATAAAAACTGCTTAAAACATAACGAACGGAAGGAAAAATGATAGACCAAACGCAGAAAATAAATAAGTTAAAATGTAGCATTTCGATAATGTTTCAAGCTTCTCTCTTCCTCTGTCTTTTTTTTTTCTCAGTAAATTTCGTTGCTTTTTCTAAAAGTTACGTTTGATCGGTCTCCGAATCGGTTCATTTAAATTGTTTGTAGGTTTCCATTTGTTATCAGTTGTTACACTTCTATTTTAATGGTATGTCTTATATTTCGAAGTATCGAAATGTTCGTATTATAAGATCTGAACAAAACGATTATAATAATTTCGTAAAGCAACAAAATAATCCCCAAAATTTAATTATATTTGACCATTCACAAGTGACAACTTGGCAAAAAAGAGCTCTGCTACCAACGTATAGCATAGTTATTCATGTGCCGTTACAGTTTCCTTAACTGAAACCGGTTACAACTTGTTCGAAGGTTCTGTTTTAGGTACTTTTGCGAAAAGTTCTAGTACCACTAAATCCTGAAGACCTAGTACTAGAAATACTGATACATAAGCGCAGAATTTAACCTCTTCCCCGTTGTAATTGACCGGCTCCTATATGCTTCAAGCAGCGAACGCCAATTTAGCTGTAATATAGAAAGAGATTACGCTCCTATTTATTTTCACCCAGTACTTAATATTTTACCATAATTTGCTTACGGTTGGCAAAATCACGAGTATGTTGTCTCTAGCTATGTCTGGCTTAATCTAATGCGTCTCTCTTTGACGAAAACGATCATGATTTCTAATTGCACGGGTTAAGAACTATTTAAGCTGTGTTGAATTGGCTGCGTGATCTTGGCTGGCCTTCATCTTCGGTAGACGGCTGGCCACAGACAACTGGAATTTCGAATTTTCATATTGGAGACTATTTCGAAAAATGTGGTACGCAGTAGCCTTTTCGAAAAGGTCACTTTTATCTAACTCCGCTAGCATAGAAATTTCTTTTTTCTGTTCTATCTAAAGGAAGCCAAAATGCTTTTATTCAGCTTTGCCAGTTGCCAGACAATTACGGAATGTTTCCCTTTATACTTGAAATCCCCTTTGTTGTAGCATAAACTGGCCGTTCCTCGATCGAGTCCACTACTCCTCGTGATGGCGCAGTAGTAATGTGTTCGTCTATTAAATATTAAAACATATGGTGATCTATGTTTGAAACGGGGCACCTTTGTTTTGTGGAGAAAGGCAGTTGTCTGAAGCAATGCTTAACGAAACCAGTAGCGGACGTAAAATTCGCAGCAATAAATATTGCCAAAGAAACGCTTATGTGAAAATGTCACGTACGCCTTATAACTTGAAATTTTCTCAAAAAAACTTAAATTAGGTAGATAGGAAAAAACGCTCAACACAACTGAATGCCTCAATTCCGACAACGAAAGAAAACCGCTAAAATGTCTGGTACCGTATTTAAATTTTAAACCGGTTGAGATATATCCTGTCTCGAAAATTTTCATGGCACATATAACTAATCTAAATTTAGAACTAGACAGACTAAATTCGAAAACTTTCTTAAGATATTTCAGCTGTAATCGCAGCTACAATGAAACTCTTCGAGGTGGTATTTTCAACCTTTGCACTCGTTATACGACCGGGAACATTTCGCTTTATGAGCTCTTGGAAAAACAGTACAATCAATGACGTTAACCAGCAGTACTCTTTAAATTAGCAGGCAATGGAAGATTTCATGAGCTTCGAAGGCGCTTGAAGTTTTTTAAATGTTTCTGAATGAAGTTACTAAATCCAAACTTAACTCAGTTCAAGGCAAACTGTGCAAAGTTTTCCTTTTTGTCAAACAGCGCTTGTAAAAAACAAATCTCGCAGGACGACGTTCTAAAATGGTGGTCTCTTATCTCTGTACTGATTGGATTCCGTCTCCTAACCAAGTGTAAATATTTTAGTACTATACGACCATTGTCAGCTGCAATAGTGTCAAGCAGTCGTTTTTATTCAATACGTGCACCCACTATCTATAGCCAGCTAAAGCACGGTATATGCCCATTTTAGAGATTTCTGCATTAAACAACGACAAAACTCAATTCTTATCTTTCTTTTCGCCACCTTTCCTGCATATCCTTTTCTCAGCCATTTCAGGAAATTGTTTTCAATTGTATTACTGCCTCGTTATCCAGCAAACACACAAAACCGACCGAAACGGCCTGTTTCATCGACTGCTGCTAAGCGGGGCCACTGGCAATAATCGCGATTCTATCGTTACTTGTCCTATTTTTTACATTCCTTCGGTCATATAGCGAATCTACTTTTTCTTTTAACTCCATTTCTTTCTCTTAACATTGACCTATACTTTGGCACAATACCGTTTACACACTCTAGGCTCCATTTGGCCTGCTTCGTTCCTACGAACTTCGCTATCGTTTAGTTAGTATGTATATCATTTTCCCCTTTTTCTTCGATTCCACTGGCACCCCAACGTGCCTTCTGAGATATGTAGCGTTCAGGTGATAAAAACACCAGCCTCTTGTCAGAGGATTGTTTCTACCTAAAAAACGCACAATCGTCATTGAGGTCTTCGCCGTCTTTTCGAGCAAAACCAGTGACGGTGGCTTGAAAAGCACGAGCAGTTCGAGGCGAGAGTGCGACAAAAGACGATGTATTGCATTCCTGTTTTGTTTTTGTCATTATGCCAGGCCTGTTTGTGGCTCCACGCGACGCTGTGTGTGTGAATGTATTGGCCTCTAACTTGTTGTTAAGCGATACCCCGACAACGAGATAAAGAGTCCTTACGTTTTCGCCTTTCTTCGATGACTACGTCTTGCGATTCGTGCGTTGCCAAATCGCACTCTCAGCGCATTGATCTCCCTGTCGACGGCTGCTATTTTGCTAAGTGGGGCGGCATGGCTGTTTGAAGTAGCGTCACCCAGCTCAGGTACCCACAGGCGGCGGCGCTCGGGCTATTCGGAATGGTAGGACAACTCGTTTAGGTTCATGCTAGTTTAAAGGTGTTGCTTCTTCTTGGTTAAACTGCCGCTCCTATTATAACGTCGTTTTGGTAATGGCCTGGTAGAAGTGTGGGTGGAGGTATTATTTGCATTTAGTCATCGTCAAGCGCGTTCTAACATGGTGACGCTTTGGAATCAAATGGACGAAGGTCAAATATAGTATAAAGAACTATGGGAATTGTCTATGCCACTAAAAAAATGGTGTATGGTTGTATATTTCTTCGAATTTTCTGTCCGCGTTCGGGAAATTTGCCTTCAGTTTTGTTGCTGTCGTGAAACTAGAACGATGCACTACTGCAACAGGCGTGAAAAGCAAGCAAAGCCAAGGAAACCAAAATTCTTGGTTTTCAAAAGCTATTCGTAAAAAAGTCATCAGCGTCGGTGAGCATCATGCACGTGCAGCACGTGTAGCCTAGAGAAGTTAATCTGTCAGACTTCAGTGATATGCCACAATGATAATTACGGATGTGATTATCTTAAAGAAAATATAGAAAGAAAAGGGTCGCAACGAGGACATGCTGTATACGGTCAAAATGCGTCCCTTCCATCCGTCATCTCGAGCGCTCCGCCTGAGAAAGCTGTTATCGGGTGACGAAGCAGGATCTACATTGTTGATGCGGTTATCAGCTACGGTTATTGTACTTGAAGTTTTATATGCAACACCTAATAATTCGTGCTCAAATGGCCGCCGCTTCTCAGCTTTGCCCGCCTATCGTCCACTGTCTATTGACTTAAGTCTATTGACTCTAGATAACGATAATAGAGACCACAGGAACATTGGAGCGGCTTTGGCATCAGCCTCTAACACCGTAAGCGATACGAGACAAAACGAACGAACAATCCATCTCTGGGCAGGCAAACCGCATAGATCTAATAACTCGCTCTAAGTGGTGACAGCCGGGCAGTCGTATGTACTAAGTTAGTTCTCACGTTCGCCGGCGGAATGATTTGACGCAACTGCTGGTCAATGGAGGGTTCCAACAGTTGTCAGGGTGCTAATGTCAGTATAGGTTCAGCAATAAGAATCGCCTATAACAATGAAGACAAAGGCACTTAGTGCCATCATGTATTGCTGCATAGCAAATGTGGTATTAAGGTAAGCTATATAAAACCTTCAACGAACCTAACCACAGTACGGTTACCTGCTGAGGTTAGTAAATTGCATACCATTGACACGTTTCATAGTAGTAACGGCAATTTATATGTCGTCTAACTGTTACTATTATCATCACTCAGGCTAATTGAGCTTGAGAAGATTTAACTTGACACAGAAAGAGAGTGAAGCTTTTCTTAGTAGTCGTTCGAGTTCAAGTTCAAGAGGATGCAGACGTCTTACGGGGAAATGCTTCACGCTATAATAAATGACTTTCTTTATTATTTACGTAGGTTGTGTTGCATCTCTTCTTCTTACTTAACGAACTACATCTCGCGATAGAATACCTAAAGCAAGTACCACTTCCATCAAGTGAATCTTTAGTTAATTGAACTTCCCATACCACTGCCGACCATTTAAATGCCGAGGTCGAACAATTTCAGGTTTCTAATTTCTTGATAACTCCGCTGTACATTTCACTTGAGGTAGAGCTGTACATGTGTATGTAACATGTGTTACATATTATTCTACCAGATTTCTTATATCTGTCTTTAGATTAAACTTTGCTTCAACATGTTGGTGACAGACATTGTACTTTTCCAGCTTTGCTTCAAATTACGTTTAAATGAAGCTAAAAATCACCCGAATGTCATCCAAAAACATGTTTGTCCAGATATTCGCGTATGTTCTGCATAGATTAGGACATCTTTGCTCGACTCAACTCAAGCGTGAAGCTTTCGAATCCGAGGCGAGCACTGCGAAACAACAATAGAAATTCATCAAGCCGCATTCCCGATTTCTTTTCCACTCCTATTAAAAATCAACACAGTTTTACTTTGTTCATGTTCCTCAGCAGCCCCGCCAACAACGTGTCCGGCAGGATGAGTGTTATTAAATCAAAAAGCCACCATTTCTCTCATGTGGCATTTACATGAGAGATCAATCCGATTTCAGAATTGGTTACGGCTAAATTCTACCAAATAGCGGAACAGGCTTCATTTATTTCGGCCGCTTTGTCCTAATAATCTCCCTCTCATACACCACCGCTGGCGTCGAACTTCGACAGCCCGTCGCACAGTTGTCCTATTGAGGACCGAAGGCCTCCCTCACAGCGGGCGTTCACGTGCGTTTAATTTTCAATGTCTTTCTCCGTGCTTGTCTACAAACATCCTTCGATAGTCCGTGAGTTTTCTTGTAGCCTCCGCTATCTCTGTGTTAGCCTCTGTAAGCCTCAGATCTAATCGCATCGAAAGAGACGAGCAGGTATATACCCCGGAACAGCTTCTTCATGCTTGTATATTGGGTGTGCGTCATCGTCGCTGAGGTAATCATTACAATAATCATTTGCATAGAGAAAACTTTCTTCGATGCAGTCTCTCTGATCTGAAGCCTAACCATACTAATAATTATAATTTTTGCATAAAGCGTATGGCGTTATTTATGCATCAGCGCTATCAATGCAAACGTATAACTTCCAAGTATTATACGTTTCTATGTATATACAACAGCTGAAAAGTTTAGCAAACAACCTGTGAATACCAACTGTCTCTCCTAAATATAGGGAAAATATCCAGCCGGGTTTTCTATCGACTGAAATGGTCCTTGTGGATACGGGTGTTACAACAGCCTTTGATGAGTAGTTAATTAAAGATTGATAATAAAGTGACATTTGCGCGAATTTTTCAAACATTCTATTGCTGTCAGAATTCGAACGTTTTATTTCAAAAACCAACGGTTTCAAGGCCATAGTATCAAAAGGAAAAAGATCCGCCAGTGGTGCCGCTTTGACACGACGTACGTAATAGGAATACAGAACACAAGCAGATCAGCGTACACGTATAGATTACGTAGAGTGTTAAAACTTGATATAATTAAAAATCGTTTAACTACTAGATATTTTACGTGATTCTTGCGAAATGGCTTCAAACTTGTATATTCTGTGGAGGGCTCTAATATGATATAAAGCAAAAACTTTAACTTAAAATGAAGTTGTAATGTCAACGTTATTGCAACAATGCTGTAGCCATCTGTCGTGCGACCACTCCTAAAAACATCCACGGATATGTTTTCCCTTGAAAATAACGGTCAGCTTTACACACTTAGAAACTACCTTTGTTGTGTCTGATCGCTAGAGTCTCTCCTAATTAGACGTACCATTTTTCTAATGGATTTGCATTTTTGTACCACGTACATAGATGAGGACGCGACAATCCCGCTATTTCAAGGTATACATGAACCGGATAAACTAGCCTGAAGTTTAATGATGATTAAAGCTATTTAACAACAAGTGTTTAGTTAGTAACAATGGTAAGTTCGTCTGACTGACGCGATAAGCTGTGAGTCCTTACTAATTGATTGTAACCATACCTTATTGTGTCCTACCATATTTCATGTCTTGGACAGATCTTTCTGTGCATTTTACGTACAAATATACTGTTATAAAAGTTTAAAACAGTACACTCGCTGTAGCTTTGTCGTTATTTCAATTTTCTTTGCAGATGCTATACATTTTTAATCACAGTGAAACGCCGCCCGGAACAGCAAGTATTCTATACGCGTTCCGAAAATGAGGTAACGAACAACAGGATCTCGCTTAATATATAGAAGATAGAAAAGGCACCTCATTCTCCAGCCATCCGCTTGTCCCACCGAAATGCAAAGCAGAAAACTAACATAAAAACAAGGGATGGCCTTCAACTGGCCTCCGTTGATTCTCGGTGTGTACTGTGTTGTCCAACACAACTATCAATATCAACCATTTACCGAAGTGTGGACGACGACGCGAACTTCTGCTTCGACTTCGTCGACGACAAAGTAGAGCTGCTGTTGGTGCTATTAACGCTATATTTTTTTCGTCTATTTTAGTCAACCAAACAATCGCTTGAAATTAAACGTTACGCGGTGTTTTGTGCTCGACAAGGAAAGATGGCAACAACAGCAGGGTAAAAAACGAAAATGCCCGTGATGTTCGGTCTATCTCATTGAGGTCCTACTCCTAGATGTGTGTACATATATAGTATCGAAGCTCTTGTGACTGGCCGGCAGTCCGTCGCTGTGCGAAGAACAACGACTGCAATGGCTGCAACAACCTCATATAAACGACGCCAAAACGCGACAGAAAAGCACCGCTGTCCACCAAATCTGTATCAGGAAGAGAGCGTGTAGACCAAACGAAGAGTGGCAAGAACAAAAAATCGTAGCGAAGGCAGAATCTTCTTCAGCAGCAGCTGCCCCAGCCGCCGAAACAACGTCTTCTTTTTCAATATGCGCCACAGGTCGTTAGAACGAAATCAACGAAGATTTATTACGCGACGGTTCGCACACGAGACCTCAACAACGGCAGGTAGTACCCCCATCGCCGCCGCTGTCGACGCTATCAACGCCACCACCGCAAGCAATATTACAACTCCTCCGCCTTCTTGATCGAATCCCAGCCACGGCCTTAGTCGCAGTGTTTAACTGGACCAATTTGTATGGAAAGCTGAAAAGGGCCAAGAAAAAAGGATAAGACCAGCACACAACGGCCCCGATAAACGAGCACGAGAAACAGAAGAAACTAATCGAATAAACAGAATAAACCGTAAGGTAATTTACTTTTTCGCTGTATACATACAATACAACGAATAAGCAAATATATATATATATATATATATAAATATATATATTATAGCTAGTGGGGCTAGCGAAGACGTCTAAGCACGTATATCTTGTAATAATCGATAAATGTATATTAATTAAATTAACTCTTATTTATTAGAATTAAACTCTTAGAAAAAGTATGTCGCTCTTTCAACCTAGACTAGCAATGCAGTACCGCTTCTTATATCAACGAATTCTGCCCTATCGACATACTTTTCAAACATATGTATCAACTATCAAGGCAGCCATCTGATAAGGAAGAACCCAAAGAAAATAACTACATTAATATATATATATATTTTGTTACGGCGTAAACGTGTAAAAAACGCATGGTTTCTATCTTGGTTATCCGTCATCTCTCAGTTCACGGCTGTTTTATTTACGTATTGATTAATGTTAAACAAAGTTGCATTATTTGTCTTTTTCGTTTACGACAATTCCCTTCTTTACCTCCCGGACAGGGTGAGCTCGCAACAGATCTATTCATTTCGACCGTGTTTATTTTAATAATCAAACACATATCAAATGTTTTCACAGCAGACGAACTAGTGGGAAATCACGCCATAACCAATGGCCATGGAACCATTACGCTTTATAATGATGGCTTCTAAAATCATTGTTAAGGAATACATACAAAAACTAGTTCCAAAATCATCGTAAAGTTATTACGACTGGATGCAATAAACATTGTAAGATCTTCGCTGTTGTTTAAGGAATAAAGATGGTAAAGCAGAGGTTTGTTTCGATCAGGACTGTTATATTAACTGTCATAGAATAGAATACATAAAATATACCTATTACTATCAACAAATGGAACTTACTCCAAGCAGAAAAACTCTTTACATATATATGTATGCTTATGCAAGTAAAATACTAATAATAATTGGCACTTTCAAATTTGGCGCCAACTCTTCTATGGGCGTTACGCGTTTTAAATATGGCCATCGATGTAGCTATCACGCACATTTGATAAGGAATGGCCCAAAGCAAACAATAATTATACATTACCTGTGTTTTATACTAACTGCAGTAAACTTCATAAGCATTGTAACAGGGTAACGTGTTTTATATGAACATCATTCTCTTCCAGATACACATTATGCACACCTGGATATACACTATGACGTATTGTGATGCTTATAATTGGCGCCAATCTCGTGCTGCTGTAATAAAAAAAAAAACAAGACGCAAGTCAAAAAAGATAACTGCGATGAAGACCAACACTCTGAACGGTGCCTTAAGCACGAATATATATTAATATCCACTTGGAAAGAGTAAAGGAGCGCCTACCCCCTCTAGGCCCCACACGGATATCAATCAGATACGGTGTTACAAGATGACGCTGCCGTGCTATTGCGCCTATTAGTTCGTTCGTTATTTTCTGCTCGTTTCCGATGTTGGTAGTTTTTTTTGTCTGCACATCTTCTCTTCCTTCGGCTCGTTCCTATCCTGCAATCAATTGACAACCGTAAACCGCGACTCGTGACAGTGACGTCTACAACCCAACGGCAAGCAGCCTTTAACTTCTTGAATTGATCAGGCGTGCAGCATACGTTCAGTATCTGTTCAAAGTTGTACGGCAGCGATAATAGCGGCAGATCGGACACGTATCAGAGCTATGGTAAAGGGTTCGTTCTATGCATTTTCCTTTACTTATGACCAAATGACTGCCGCCACCGTGGTTAGCTTCGTCCGTCACAGCTTTTGCGGATGATTCGATCGGGTCAGACCGATACGAATGTCGCGCACATATCATTATTACCGGCTAGTTCACGCTATGCACGAAAAGCATCATAGACCTTGTTGTGTTTTCGTCTCCAGCTGTCGACGACGACGACACGGCGGCGGCGGCGGTGGCAGCGCCACTGGAGCGACTGGGCTGCTCACTCTGAAACATGCTGCAGTTGAGTCAGCGAATGAATCACGAGCGGTGGAGAGTTGAATAAATCTGAATGGAAAAACGGAAGGTGTTGAAATTGGTCCGTTGTTTTGTTGGCTCGCCGTTTCGATAGTTAACATTCCTCCTTTCTTTTTCAGTTTTCTGCTTTTGCTCTAAGCTTCCTCCTTTAGCCGGCCCTAGCGAGCAAAATTCCAGCCGTTCACCCACTGGTCACTGTTATTTCGCCGCTACCCGTTGCGACGCGCTCTCATGAGCGCATTCAAACGCACACTCACGCCCTGAGATGCCACGCACGATCAAAGCCAGTCGGTATTCCCGACACTCCAGTGCTTGTGAATGGTGACTGGGTCCGGCAGCAGCGGCTTCGTGTCGTTGCCGCGCCAATAAAAACTGAGGCGCGACTCAATAAGCGTAAGTCAGCGGGGCCGTCGGCAATCGCACATGGACTACGGCGGCGGCGGCGGCGGCGGATGTCGTCGCTGTGTCACTCGACAGAAGGAACAACAACGAGAGATCATCATCATCATTATGATCACTAAGAATGACAGGTTTATCTGTCCGTTTGTCGCATTTGCGATAATAATCACAAAACAGTCATCGGCACTCAATAGAACCGGCACGCTAGACAATGCGACGAGAGTGGCTGCGGTAGCTCAAAACGTTTAACGCACAGGTTCGTGTTCGCCGTAGTACGGCAATCGCTGGAGCTTGCAGCGGTGAATGAACGTAGTGGAGATGAAGTCAAAGCGTACGACCTCAATTTTTGTACGTTTTCACGTTTTACGCTTCGAACAGCAGCAAAAGTAGTAGCAAATAAGTAGTAGGAGCCAGAATAGAAGAAAAGGTCAGACGGGTCCGCAGGCCAATAACAACGGGCAGAGCGTGCGCGCTCACTAACCGTCTGCAGAGCAGGTTCAAATCAGGGATCACGGATCGCTAATGGTTTTGGCATTGGTCGCGGGCGGCAGCGGCTGCTGCTGGGGCAGAGGTACTTTCTGGGCATAGAGTTATACTTGGCAATGGGGGTGGTGAGCATACGAATGAACATAACGTAAGTTGCTGGCGGGTGATTTGGCGTGCTGTCTTACTGACATACCGGCTCGCAGCTAGATACGCTGTTTCTAATTCCCTAATAACGACTACCACTCCATAATATTTCATCTGCGGCATGCCACTGCAATGGACCCAGCAGCGTGCTACGTCCGCCGGATGCAGATTGAGCCGAAAACAAATCGAATTGAATCCCGTTGATATGTCATCAGCTCGGGGGCGTAAAGAGCACACAGGCAGTAATGGAGTTGAAGACATGAAGCCCGAGACGACGGACCGGCAAAGGGATTCAAAGTAACTGAAAGACCCACATTGTGGGGTTTTCCTTGAGCTGAAATAAGCTAAAAACTTTGTCTCAATCAATATTAGCATGTTTAAAGCTGTGTAGCCTTTGATTAATTTGTAGACGTAATCAACGAATGTTGTACACGCAGTGAACGAACGAAATTATAATAGGCGTTCCTGACAGGTGGCGTGAACGGCAGAGTTAGACTCGTTCGGTCCAGTGTATCAGATGCGTATCGTTTATTTCTAAGAGGGAAAAATATAATAAAATAATTATATGCATACATTTCTATAGGGAGCATTTGAATTCATGGCTGTCCTAGTGAGTTAGCCACTGTTTTTGTTTTTAATTAAAAAAAAAATGGTAACATAAAGCAAAGGCTTTGCGGAAAAACGCATCTGCTCACGCGTGCTTCTCTACGAAAAAAGGAAACCGTACTTCCTCACTTTCAATGCGAATCCGAATAAAGCCCGTTACGAGTTCGTTATCAACACTCTGTACTCAACCGTTGCTGGCTGTTTCCTATCGTGCAGAAAAATACGAACTTACCGTTGAATAATGAACATACTGCATGCTTGGACACGTAACTGTCATAGTACTTCATTTAAAACAAACACTTGTTAAAAATTTACTAATCCACTGTCGAAGGCTGAGCTAACAAGATAACGTTCGTTGTCATGAATATAAGGAGCACAAATGTAGCAAATTTCCTCTGCTAAAATTTCTGTCTTTACCTGCTCTCTCAAAATATCATTTCAGTCTCTAATGATTTGTGGCCCTTAACAAATGAACCTTGAGTCAGCCTGTTACCAGCTAGCAGTGGTGTCATGTTAATCTTTGCAGCTTTCTTCGTACTCTCTGTTCCTTGCCGCCGTCGCCGTCGCCTTCGTGACCTGCTTTCACCTGAAATGGATGCCGACTTTTGCGGCTCCCTCTGTCGTCCGTAAAACGCTTTTGCTTTTCCTTTTCGATTTTCATTTTTCCATCTAAATCATTCGTTACTTTTCTTTAGTCGGTTTCGGGTGAAGTCAGAGGAACTCCCCAAAGCGGTTTTGACGTCTGCCGTATTAACGCGGACGGAGTCGAATAAAAGTGCGCAGTGAAGCCGCGTCCCGTACCGCCTAACGCCGTTCAGACGGGCGACAGCGTGACGCATCTGAAGGGGTTATACTCGTAGACCTCATCACACCTGCTCACCATCTAGAACAACATTAGGTGACCCATAGGTGTAGCCTGTCAAGTTTTGTTGGTAGCATTTTTAATCCTGTCATGATGATTAGTTGGCAGACGGCTCATTCCTCTAATAAACTAAAAAGATTGTTATACATATTTCTGATACCGTACGTTATAGCCAACATTATCGGATCAATATGCTTTCGATTAATTTGTTTCATTAGCTTGTTTCCTAGCTTTTTTCATATGCATCTTGATGACAATGAGTGCTTATGTTAGATTTCCAATTGCTTTTTACGGTACTTGTGACTACGGCATGAGCCACGGTGATACCAGCGGCAGCAGCAGCGGCGGCGGCGAAACGTAAAATAACACCAGCGCAGGCCTACGCGCGTATTTTGCTCGCAATGCTACCGCCAGAGCGACTCGTGGCGTCCATCGATTCTATGAGACTGCGTGCGGAGCTGTTATTTAATCTGTCGGCCTGTCTCAAAGTTTGGCCAGCCAACAAATAGCTAATACAATAGTAC